CCAACATAAGGCGCAAACCTCCGTGCTGTTCTTTCCTCCCGCGCCACGCTTCTCGCAACCAATGGTTGACTCATGGGTGCTAGGAATCCACCGTTGCGTGGCGGTTCTCAGCCAATGGTCGCATTTTGGTTCTAGGAATCCACCGTTACGCAACCAATGGTTGGGCTGGATTCATGTGCTAGGAATCCAACGTTACGTGGAAACAAGGGGATTCCCCGACTTGCGCCATGTTTTGCTGGAAAACCTCCTAATCCACCGGGCCTAGCAAAGAAACACGGCCTATGGGCCCGGACAAGAGCGCCAGTTGCTCGTATCGGGCGGTTGTTGTTGTTGGTAAGCGCTATCCATTTGAAGGGAAGCACCAGTTGGGGTGAGTGGGGGTGGGGGGGGGGGGGGCGAAAATTGGGGTTCCAAATAATTTCCTGACCGGCAAGATAGATACCTTGATATCCGCGGGCGGCTCTATGATGTTCACTTTTCCACCCCCAAAGCGGGTCGAAAAGTGCTACTCGATCTCGTAGATTAGGGCACATGGGGTGTTCCCCCAGCTAGGGTTCCGGGTTCTACATGCGACACACTTAAGGGAAACAGCCGGAGGGCGTACGCTTTTAGCTGGTCTTGATTCGAACCTTAGGCAAACCCACCGGGAAACATGAACGACATAGGAACAAAGGACGTTCCCTTTCAACGAGAATAACACACACCCAGCAGAAAGGGAGAGGGTACCACTTTGACACAATGGCACCCGTCTTGGGTCCCGAGTCCGATGACAGGCCATGGTTTGCGCCCCCAAAACCACCGGGATCAAGAAACACTGCAGAACAAACCCTTCATGCTATGCGGATCTCAGAGAACCCCTGGAGCCAGCGGTTTGGGGGCTAGTGGGAACTGGGCCTTTTCTAAATGGTGTTTTCCGAGGGTACGTGTCTTGTTGGGGGGTTCTAAAGGGAAACCAAAAGGAAGCCCGAAGCCATTTTGGAGGGGTCTCCTACAAAAGACATGCCCAACCATTTTAGAGACAGCCGATCCCAAACCTATGGTTGACGACATCCCATGTGGGCGATCCATGACCAGCCTAAGATGGCGATCCACTCGATCCGCGCGAAGTTTTTTACCGGGGCTTTCAAGGAAAACGTCAAAAGAACCACAGCTATGCCTTTCACCGCTTGGGACAAATGAAAGCTGATTGTGGGCTGGAACAAGCAAATGGACACACACGCACACAGATTCAAATGAGCAGGTGGCAATGGCGAAGAGGTCCACCAAGTTCAACCACTGCACGGTGTATCCTTGGCGCGAATCCAGGAAAAAGACCCCCGGGCGTTTGGGTCGACATGGACACAAGGAGCGACGCAAGGTGCAAATGACGGGATCAGCTTCCCGGAAGAAACTTCATATGTCCCGAGTCTTTCCTTCCCGCAGGCACTGGGAGGGACCCGCACAGCACCAAAACGGCACGGGTGTGTGTTGGAACAAGGCATCCCCATGGCTGCATTCAGGTTTGCGGAGCATCTTAAACATGCTTGCACCTCACCTTCCACATCATTGCTTAGGATTCCCCTTTGAATAGGATTCCCCTTTGCGAAAGGGCGTGGTCCGCTGCGCTTCCTTCTGCGAACATCGGCTCTTCCTGAAGAGCAAAAGATAGCAAACGCTCTCGTTCCCCCGAATTCATAATTAGACGCCAAGTGAGCAGTGTCCTACACTCAGTTGCGGCCGAAGAGAAATATCAAACCCCTTCCGCGAAGGCTCCGCGGCATGGAAGGTTCCTTTCGCAAAAGTTTTGAACAGGGCGGATGGCAACTCACTTGCCGAGTGGAAAAAACCAAGGCAACAAACAGAAACAGGTACATTTTGGGAGTTCAACCAATTGGATGGGAAATAACACCATGGAAAAACCCCTGCAAGCTTCCTTCAGCCGGCGGCATTTCGGTCGAGCTCGGTCGGCTTCGTCGGTGTCGCGACCGCTCCCGCTGGCCGAGGGGCTCCAGGTCGCCTTCCAAGCCGGCACCGATCGCTCCCCCACGTACTGCACCTCGAGTCGGTGCAGAGGGCGCGAGGCGGGGATGACCCAAACGGCATCGAGCTGATCGTTTTGGTGCGGAGTGGTAGGCAAAAAGGAAAGAGACAATAGACACAGAGAAGTCGCAGACAAAAGACGAAAGCTTGTATGATACACCTGTACAGTCTCCCGAAAACGGAGCGTTTTTGTTTCTCTCTCTTTTCTCCAAATAGCAGGTATGGAACCTTCGATATCGGTTCAGGCACACCGGGGCGTTGTTTGAACATTGTTTAAACCCCGGTGTCAGCTATAAATAACCCCCCTTTTGGCAACCGCTCCAATCTCGCCCTTTTGGTTGCTTTCTAAGCTGCGGGGTTGGGTTTGCCGAGGAATGGGGCTGGATGGGCCAGAACATGACCTTTGTGCAACCACTGCTTTTGGACACTGTAGCTCCAACAAAAGCGAACTCATAACTGGAAATGGGCGTGTTTTTGGTTAGTCCACCAGTCAGATCACCCCCCCGCCCCAAAAAGAAGTGGTTCTCCTTTGGTCCCCTTTCGAAACCCACTCCAAAGATGGTACATACCTCAAACAAAAACTACATAAAGACGACCTCATAACTCATTTTGGGTAAAGGGGTAAGCTTTTCGGAGCTGGTGTCGAGGGAAACACACACTCATTGATTTATTTGAGTCACAATCAAAAACTGGTATTAAAATGGTCCATCCGAATCCATCTAAAGAATCCTACCCGGGCGTTGCTTGGTGGATGTTTCTGAGATTTTTTTCCAAAAGTGATCTGGTCCCCCTCAAAAATGGGCCATCTGATGGGGTCTACCCCCTTTCACCTTCCGGTCCACCAGTTTGCTCAAATTCGATTGGCACGTGTCTTGAAATTGCGCTGGAGCCCCCGGACCCATCAAGGGAAAAAATTGGAGAAAAAAACGCCGAAGGAGGAAACCTCTGAACACATTTCCTCACCTATCGCCGAAAGGCGAGCTTCCGATTTTGTGCCTTGGCATATTCGTAACAATCTGGATGTGCCTACGGAACACGGTAAACACCCGTGGGGCTTCCCTCATTTGAAGACAAACCAATGTATCAATTTCTGTCGTGATACAAGGTCATAAAAAGCTACTTGCAATATTGCCTTATGATCAGGCGTTTGACCAAGAAGATAATCACAAATTTTCAAGGTGCTCTAAAAAACGACGCACCCCATGCATTCCCCTGTTCAACCCTAGAGCCGATCTTGTCGCCTCTTGAGGGGGGGGGCCAGCAGGGCTCCAGTTTCTGGGCCCGTCATAGAAATCGGACCCCCGCAAATTGTGGTGTTCCTCTTGGCGGCCCTTTGATTAAATCCCACCAAAAGTGGGTTCCCCCAAAAAAGGACAAAAATCCAGTACCCAAGCCTATGAATATCAATCACCAAGCCCAACTGGTTGCAGCGTAAACACATGGAGATGGACCCATTTTCTCGATTCACAGCTTTGTGGTTTGTGTATCCCTTGCAACAGCTAACCTTTGGGACATGTCATAAGTGGATCTGTCTGTTTTTGGGTGGAAGGGAAACCAAAAGGACAACTGAAGCCATTTGGAAGATGGGGGTACCCTAACAACAAAGACCCACCGACCCAGGCCCCAGTTGGTGATGGAATAGAAGGGGCACTCTTCTTTGGTGGATCTGCAAGGGGTACCCGCTCCAAAATTTTCAAAGTTACCCCCTAATGTTAACCCCAGACTAATCAACCCCAGTTTACTAACAGGAGATCACTTTCAGAGCTACGAATAGCAACGGGTCCACTAATCCGGGGTCAACATTCGGTGGTACCCGTTACTTCCAGTTACTTTCGTCGGCAACCAGTTATGCCCACCTCTAGGCTTCTGCTATAGTGGCGAAGCACTGGAAGCACTGGGCTAGGTTGAAAGGGACAGCCCCGCCCCGAAGATTTTTTTTTCTGACTTTAACCCGGGCATCTGAAAAAAACAAAAACAAAAACGGCTGCCAGAGCCAAAAAAAATCGATGGATCCGAGGCGCCCCTAACTCCCTCGCGCTCATCGCGTGGGCCGTGGCAATGCGCAAGACGTAGTCGATGGTAAAGATTAAGAGACACACCTGAGCCAGAATCAAAACCCATCGGCATTTTAATTTGGTCTACCCAAACCATGCAAAAGCCGGATTCCCACACCCATTTGTGGCTGGGATTGTCCCTTACTACCCTCCAATTACCAGTTTTTGTTTTTATCGTGACACGCCTGGAATTTTCTATTGGCGGGCCCCCTTTTGTTTGTGCTCTTTTACACAAGGGAACCGAAAGGGGACCAACCATTCCAGGGGTTTGAGGGGTCACTTCAAAAGTTGCATTTGACTGGTAGGTTGCAAGAAAATGCCACAGACCCCCTTTTGGTTGGTTTTTTACAAGGGAACCCAAAACAAAGCAGACCCTTTCAGGGATTTCAGGGTAGCCCTATTTCCAGAAACGCCCAGCTCAGTTCCCTTTGTTCTTGCTTCGGCCGAAACCGACACGGAACTGGGGAAGACGTGATGGCCCATGTTTGAGAGGGTCCCCGCATGTCCCCCAAAAAGGGTGGGGATTTTCTGCTGAAGATCAGCTTCCCTCCACTGGCGTGGATTGGTTGGAAGGTTAGCGGGTCCTTTCCCACGCACCCTCTGCAGGAACCAGGGCTTCAAACCCCAAAGAAAACCCAAACCAAGTGGAGCTAACCTGAACCAAATGGTGTTGAACCGAGGGTCAGGGAAAAAAAAACACAACCAAGCCTTCAACGTTTTGGAGACGCTCCGGGTTCCAGTGTGCTCGGGGGTGGAACAATGTGGGGAAAACTCCCCTGGGCCTCTGGGGTCTTGAATCACTTTGCTGGTGCTCAGTAGGGAATGACACTCCGGGGTTTGGAGTTGCACCTAGGGATTCCCTGAAAGGACACCATGGGAGATGGGTTAGTTCAGGGTCATTCCCTCATTCCCTGCTGAGAAGCAGGAAGAAAAGGGGGAAGTAAAATACCCATCCCCTCTTGGCGTTCCCTTGGACCCAGCTAAACATGTTTGAACACTTGTTAACACAGCCCCATCTTGGTTTCTCTCCAAAGGAATTGGACAAGGACAAGCCGAGATCACCGACTTCACAGGGGCAGCTCACTCCAAACCAGGGGTAGCGGCATGCGGGTCGAGCGATGGTTCCCGTGCGGAACCCTTTCGTTAAACCCATCTAGGCGAGTCACAGCCCAAACACGGGAAAACAGGACAGCACATCACCCAGACGGATACTCACTCAAAAACCCTGTCCAGGTGATCTGTCAAATGGCTTCAAAGGAACATCCGCGGATCCTGACGTATAACGCCAAGAAAGCCAACGGCGAACGCGGGTTCCCCAAGTTCTGATTTCGAGCCCTGGACGGGAGGTGACGCCTAGTTTTCCAAACATTTCTGGGCCGGCTCTGTGAACTGGAAGCAAAGTGCGGGCAGGCCGCTAACCACATCATGTAAGCCATGGCAGTCGCCAAGGGAAGGTCGGCCCTTTGAGGGCCCCTAGTGGCCCCTAGTGGCCCTCTATCTATGGTTTCCACTAATTACCCCCAAGCCACTACCTCAAGAAACATCACCCCCTGGGGGGCAGTGGCTGGGGAGTGGCAAACCATCATAGACCCTGGTAGATGCGGTGCCACTAATTACCCCCAAGCCACTACTTCCAAAACAACACCCCTAGAAGCAGTGGCTCGGGGGTAGTTGAAACCATCAGTACTCATCTGGTTGCTGTGGCTCTGCATCAGTCTGATGGTTGCTGGCCAAGGAACAAACTCGATGTTGTAGAACCTCAGGCAGTGTACATATTCGCTCTGGCGCACGCGCCCCCGCCCTCTGGCACGTGGCTGACTCGGGCTTCCGTCTGACACAAGAGGCTGCCCTCCAAACGCTACACCCATTTGCCCAGGCACCCATTTTTCCCCTGAATGCTGAATGGGGTCTGGACAACATTTGACAATACCACTCCCCATTTGGTGCCCCCTTAGATACATGTCAAAATATCGGCCATCGAGTCAAAAGTCAAACACCCCGCCCACCACTGAGCCTTGCTCGCAAGCGAATACGCCGAGTGGCACCCTGTCCGGCTTCGGGCGGCAGTTCTCAACGGTCAGCTCAGAGGCACCTAGCGCTCGAAGACGCTCAAAACCCCCCAGCAGTTTTCAGACCCAATCTAGGTCCTCCAGCACAGAGATTAGAATAAGGGTGCCCTTTTTCTGTAGTCTATTTTAGTAGGGGAACCCTCCCCAAAAAAGGGTAAAAGGGCACTACTGGGGGACCTAGCAACGCTTGGGCTTCTGTTAGGCTTCTCTTGAAAACCAAAATCGGAGGTGACCCTCTTCCCGCTCAAGGGTTCTAGCCACTAGTTCTAGCCAATGGCTTCCTTTTGCAAACAAAGCACATTATTCTGTCCTTGCAAGCGATCGGGGGCGCCGTTGATTGGAACCCGTTCAACCGAACAAGACAGTCCAGCACCTGGTGATCTAATCGCGGCTCAAAGGCTCGATCTCTTGGCAAGTGATCCCCTGGATAGCCACTTGCGAATCCTCTCCCCGGCAACTCTTACCGTTTTTAGGGGGGTTTAGGTGTCTGTCCCAGCAACGATGACGGTGCTCATAAGGTAACATGTCTGGAACAAAGAGAACGCAACTTGGCGATCCAGGTGGTTGTTTTGGTGGTTTGGAGCCGAGTTTGCGTTACCCTCGATTGGGTGGATTGGGGCCAGCCCCTCGACTCCAAACGGGGAGACATGTCCAAACTACCATGCAGCAATGATTGAGGCGTCCTGATGTTACAAGGGACGTGGGAATTTTAGGAGACACCCAATTCCAAAACAAGTGCCGCTGCATGGAGTTGATTTCCCAGACTTGGCGCATAGAGCAAGAAGCGAGAAAGGCAAAACCTTTGAAATTTACCTGCTTGTGGTTCTCTGACTGGCGGGATTTCGGAAATCAACTGTAACGCAGGCAGATTGTGGATAGCACAAAACACATCTTCTGTACCCGTCGGAAGATTGGGACCTCACGATTGCTCATGTGAGTCGCAATCAAAACCCGGTACACAAATGGTGAACCCAGAACCATGTACAGGATTAAGAAGGCGGCCGCAGCTATTTCTGGTTGGGATCGTCCCTTACTAACCTTCATCTACCCAGGTTTTGATTGTGGCTCATGTTGAGATCTGTTGAAATTGGAGACCTACCGGCCCTGATAAGGCTAAACTCACTCTCACAAATCGCAGCACCTGGAAACAACCCACCTGGGTGGAGGAACATGACAAAGCCCTCTTTGCGTTCCGACCCCCCCAAAAAAAACCAACAACAGCGCTGAGTGTTTAAAAAACAAAAAAACTCACATTTCCGCGGGCTTCAACCTAGTGCGAGGGTGTTTTTTCAGGTTCCGGCTTTCTGTCAGCCCTGTCCATGCTTGTGGAAGATGATCCTTATCTTCTATTTGCTTCAGCCCCCTGGAAAAACATGAATTTTCCAATAGTCATAAATTCCCTTCAAATCAACAAACCATCCTTACGATAATTCCTCCGTGGAGCATGCCCATGGCCACTTCTTTCAAAATGGGATTCCCTTGCCCCGCAGAAACCCAATGCTCCACAAGCATGCGGTCACTTACTTGCCGGGACCCTAAGCTGCCCATTTGGTGAAAGATCCCAACTAAAGCTCATGAAACCTGATTTTGCCTCAACGGAACTTGGATCCGGACCGGCGAAATTAGGGGCTTAACAAATACAAACGATGCTCCCATGATCATGAAGAAATTTGTGGGTGTCTCATTCTTCTGTGGTACCCCTTGTTCGGGAAACCAAAAGGAAAACCATTTTGTTTGGGGGATCCCCGTACCCCGCAACCCTACTCTATGTTGTCAGGCGCTAGTAGCTGATCTCCAGCCTTTCTCCATTTGAAAATCCAAGGAAAAGCTTCCAAAGGCTTGAATCTCCAGGGGCACCTTCCAATTCCATTCTTGGGATCCGAATCTTTTCAGGAAACCCTCAAAAACCCGGGGGAAACGAATCCGGCTTTTGAAAAGAACGCGGCTTGAAAAGAAAAAGGAAAAGGCATCAAGCCCTCGAGAATCAGGTTTATCGCCAAGCCGCATGCTGGCGGTGTGTGGCTAAACTCCGGCATGGATTCCAGGCACATCGTGACCTGCGACAATAAAATCGGTGCTTTTCCCTTGGCTCCTTTTCTCGGGTTTTTTTTAGCGATTCCCTACAAGCAGCCCAGGCAAAACTTCCCTATTCACAGCTGCTTGATCTCAGCTTCTGCAGGCTACACCAGAACAGGGGTCCAAATCCAAATCGGCTCGGAGGGTTTGGTGCTTCGGGTGTGGTTCCCCATTCTTGTACAGAACAGGGGTCCAAATCCAAATCCAAATCCAAATCCAAACCAATCCACAAATTGCTGGTGCCCAGCCGCGAAGGGAATGAACCCGGGAGTCCCCTTAAAGGAAACCAGTTGGATGGTTGATAAGGCTCATTCCAATTCTCATTCCCTGGTGAGCCCCAGCAAGACTAATGTCGACCCAGGATCAAAAAACCCGTCCCATTATTAGGCGGGTCTTCCCTCCAAAAGTGATGAAACCCCACTAAAAGGGGACATCCCCTATCAATCAACCAGGGGCGGGGTTAACATTAGGGGTTACCTGATGATCTGCCTTGTTTTCTCCGGGCAAAAAAAAGACGACGTGCGTCTGACCTCAAGTGGCCAGGTCGATGCCCGATGCTACCGGCTGAGCGCTAAGAATTTATTCACGGTGAGTTGGCCACGAGGCCTTTCGAAGCCTCGAAACGGATGTCACTGGGCTGTCCGTTTTCAGATCCCCTCTCGGTTGCTTTCTGCTTTCCTGCTAAAAGTTTAACTTTCAGTTCGGAAACCCAACCACCTTTCACTCAAAAAGCAACTAAACAAGGAACCGGATGGCTGGGAAGTACAACTTGATGTGTCAAAACTGTGGAATGCAACAATTTCCACTTTGCACCAGTTGGGCTGGACGAAACTAGTTACATATACTGGGATAAGCACCTACCAATTGGTGCGAATCATTTTTTGTCCGCCACAGTAACCCTTCTTTTCCATGGCTTTACAAGAGAAACCACTATGGCACCCAACCATTCAGGCCCCCGTTTAGACATAGCCATTTGGCACTCGAGAAGATAGGCTACGTCGAGTTTGCCATCTGAGATCAGCTTGGATTAAGCAGAATTTCTTGCAACCTATGACCTTGCAGTGCACACAGATCATGCAAAACATGGCCAGTTGGGGAGGCGACATCTTCAAAATTACCTTTCAAATTAAAACTCACGGCAAAAGCAAATTTTGCGAACTCCTCAAAATGCAACCACTTTAAGGGGCGTTGAAGTTATTTCTGGTGGCGATCAGCAAGGTATGGGCGGGCGTTCCGCCCGCACATAGTCTCCAGCCAGGTCCGTGCTGTGGGGCAAAAAGCCAAGAGGTTAAAATACACAAGGGTGTTTGTCTCGAAATTGGACATGGACCGATTCCAGGAATCCTTTTGGTTTCACCTTACCATCTAAAAAGGGAAAACATGGTCTTGTTCTAGCCACACCTTGAGATCGAAGCGGAGAAATCGCTCGAACAAATTGGTGTTCCAATGCCTGCAGGTTCCCAGAAAGCGACCTTTAAAAACCCTTGGGGCAAAAACCCATCTCAAGGGATTTGGCTATGGCTCAATAAACCGGAATTCCAAAATGGGTTGCCCGATCGGGAAGTGGAATAGACCAAAACCTGCGGTTTGCCCCTCCTGTTTGATTTTGAGCCACACCCATTTGGACCCCGCTGGGTTTCAATCCGAGCCGTTTCCCTTCAAGGGCAGCGTCACAAGACACGCCGATATCCCCAAGTTAAGTTACACCCCAAGGTATGCAGCGAAACTAGTGCTACTCTCTCTAACCTGTGGCAAGGAAAATCACCGGGGCCCGAAAGCACTGTTGAGAACCTATGTACCAAACTTACCACAAAAAGAGACACCTACTGTGGATGGTTGCGAGATCCTCTTAGGCGCCACCGTTCAGAAAGACCCGGGTTTGTGGTGCGATTCAGAAAATACCAAAACGACACCAAACAAAAAACAGTATTTTCCGAGGAACAAAAAAACAGTATTTTCAGAAACTACCGGTTTTGGTGGTGTGGTATGCGCAAAAGAACCCTGCTGCATACAAGTGGCGGTAGTGAGCATGATCACCACTGTCAGCAAGTACGAAGACAACCTGAAGGAGGGTTGGATGAACCACCTGGGTGTGTCTTGTGAGGGTGCCCCTGTTAAAGTGGGTTGTAAAAGGGAATCAAAAGGAAACCAACCCTTTTGAAGGTTCCCCTAGTTTGCGACACTTCCGTCTGGCTGCCTGCAACCGTTCCGGTTCAGTTGTTCAGCCATTTGGATCTGTCTTTCTTGGAGTTGGTACCTTTCTTTTGCGGCTCTAAGGGGAAACCAACAGGAAAAACCGGTAATTTGGGGTCCCCTCATTTATTGCTACTCTGGTTGATTTAAAGCTAACTTCGGTCTAATCCAAAGGAGCCTACTAGCCAAAGGACCCCCTTGAAAGGACCCCCTTGAAATAGACAATTTCGCTACTACAAGGGGAACAAAGAGTGAATCATTGGAATCACCAGAACAAGGTTTCAGCGCCATCATAAAGGACATTGCTGGGAACCCTGTTACTAGCCCTCCTTGACCTTCTGTTGAGAAAGATCTGAGCTGACGCTCGATTGGTGCTTGCGCTCGCACTGTATTGCACAGACCTGAAGGAATTCCGATGTGCGAGCTCGAGAACTCCGGTGTTGCACTCAAGCACTCGCGCCTTAGAAATAGACTGTTGAAAGCGCGTGGGTGCTTCCTTTTCCTGTGGAGTTGCTGCATGGAATCGCCTTCATGAATACGTCTGGATGATATCCCCTCGCAACTTGAACGGGGGTTCACGCAATGCATGCTACTTCCTCTATAAAGGTCCATTAGTTTGGGGGTGGCATCCTTTAAACAACAATGCACAGGGTCATGTTGAGGATGTCACTGAAACGGATCCAAGATAAAAGAGGTCTTTCTGACAGAGGCCTAGTCAGTGCTCGGAATCATACAGACACGGGCCCAGTGTTTATCAACAAAAAAAACACTGGTGCCAGTGTTTACACACGTTGTTAGGAACAAACATACGCGCACAAAGACACAAGCACAAAACAAACAAACAAACAAACAAACAAACAAACAAACAAACAAACAAACAAACAAACAACCAAACAAGCAAGCAAACAAACAAACCAAACCAAACAAACAAACAAGCGGACAACAAGCAAACAAACAAACAAACAAACAAACAAACAAACAAACAAACAAACAAACAAACAAACAATGACCCAAACAAACGAATTAACAAACAAACAAAGAGGCAGGCAAGCAAGCAAGCAAACGAACAAAAAGGCAAGCGAGCAAGCTTGCGAGCAACCCAAACCGAGCCAAACCAAACCACACCAAACCAAACCAAACCAAACCAAACACACAAGCAAACAAGCTATTGGAGGACCACAGAAAGCCAGTAAGCAAGCAGGCAGGCAGGCATCCCTGGAGCGTGGGATAAGCCGAAGACTAGTTGGGTCACTCGGTGACCGCCGCTCATGGCCTTTGGAGCTCCATTGGGGTCTAAACCGGCAAAAATCCCCCGGCCGGTACATGCCTAACCCCGCAGGTCGCTGTTCAGCTTCCCGTTTTTTTTTTTTTTGGGGGGGGGGTACAAAGGAAACCGACCTCCATTTGGGGAAATCCCGCTATAAAATGAAAAGGAAACACCCAGATGGAGGTCCATCAGCTTTCTTCGTTGGGTTTGGAGCCGAATCAGGCTTGGCGGTGCTCCGGGGGCTCCAACTTACCTGCAAGGAACAGGGGTTCAAATCCCGACACCAATCCAAAGCACCAATCGGGGGAGGCTGAGCCATGACATGGGGCGCTGAAGAAAAAAAGAATGGACAGATGAATTCGGTCTCTCTTTAAACCAACCCAAAGAGGGTACCGTCAGCAAACATACCGAATGAACCACGGTCAAAATCAGGCAACATCTGACTACCCAAACATTTCGACCAAACCTCAAAAGTTGTTTTTCCTTGTGGCCTCGGTTTAAACCAAGCGAAACAAGGGTATCCTCAAAACTCACTTCCTGACTTGCTATTTACAACTAAAATGGCCTTCCCAAAAAGTTTAAAGCAGTGGGCCTGTTCCTTGCCTCCCTTGAAACCCAAACCCTCAAAACCAGAGAGGGATCGGCGGATTTGCAAGACAAAACTCCGTTGCCCCATAGGGACTCAAAACTAGAAGGATAACCTTTTGGGGCCATGACGAATGGACCAAAGTCGGAAATTCAAAGGTCCTTCAGATCGATCCGATTTGCACAAGGGCCTATATTATATATAAATTATGTATACAGTATGTATATATATATATATGTATATATGTGCATGTTCAAAGCAAAACACCTAAGAAACAAGAGACACTGAGAGCCCACTCGCTTCAGCTCCGAAGAAAGCTTGTTTGACACGTCCAAGTTGCTTGGCCATGAGCCCGGAGGACGGGTCATTGAGAATCTTGAAGATCGTCCTGGAAAACAAATGGAGAGGGGCGAAACAATGACTTCCACTTTGATTCTGTTTTGCCGGCAGCCAAACTGGAAACCTGTGCCAATCACGGATGCCACGCACCATGATGACTTCCACTTGTTTACAATATTCTATGTGCTCACTATGTTTTCCCCAGTAGTGATAGATTTTCTTTGAAACCAGCAGATGCAAACAAGATCGGGAGTTTGCTGCTGGGACTAACCTTGGTTCTAAAGTAGTTGGGTCAACCCTTTGGTTGAACCATGGTTTAAACCACGATAGCGTGATGTCCAGTGATCTCCATTTGGGTGCGTGCCGTGTTGAGGCGCGGCACAAAAACATGGGTAGCCCTTGATTCATGGAGGCCCTCTGCAAGAAACAAGCAGCTCGCAGCCTTTGGCGACCTGAGAAAAATCTGGGATTAGGGTGGAAGATAGGCGTGCTTTCTGCTCAGCATGTGAAATGTGTCCTGACTCCACATGATTTCTTCTTGTCAATTGGCAGGGGGAGGGGAGGGGGAACCGGAACCCAAATACCTAGGAGTACCTTTCCCATTCTTTCCAGGCATCCTTCTTTTCAGGAAACCATCAAGAACCCAGGGGAAACAGATCCGGCTTTTGGGAAAAGAGTGAGGGTTGAAAAGAATTCGGACACGGAATCAACGCCCTAGAAAACCTCCACCTTCTGGAGGGCTTCCTCTTGGGCTCCCCAAACCCCCTGCTGAAAAAACCTGGGGCAAAAAAAGACGCGCCGCACAGTGACCGAGGTGCTCCAGATTTGAGAGGTTAGAATAAGTTGGTACCGTCCTTTTTTCTGTCTATTTTAGTAGGGGAACCAATAAGGGTACCAACTTGTTCTGTCTATTTTAGTAGGGGAACCCTCCCAACCAAAACAAAGGGGAGAGAAGGCTCAGAGAAGGGCACCTAGCTGGGGGACCTAGTATTTCCCTATCTCCACTCCTGGGAGTGGACAGGCTGAATTGAAGATGACTTCCCCCTTCGCCCTCCCCATCCTCTCCATTAATTCCCCATCAGACCGGTGCAGGACCCTGTTAAGGGACCACACAGGGCCATTCTGCAAAAATAACCATTGGGTAAGAGGGGGCACCGAATGAGGTGCAAAACATCTACCACTCAATCCCAAACACGGTTCTGGGAGTTGCCCACTAAACAAAAATGGAAGGCCTTCAGCTGGAATGCTTCCTAAACGAGCGTCCCTCCGCACATGTCAAAGGAGCAAACAAACACGTATCAATTGAAAACAGAAACAAACACATGTTCACAAACACATGCCGAGATGGCTGCAGTGTGTTCTTTTCCAACCACCCATGGTGCTGCTTGCTTGTAATCCCCTTCCCAATCTTGTCACCTATGGTCTCCTTCCTTGCCAAGTGCAAAACAACACGTGGGTCTGGGTCAAAATTAAACCACCAGGGGACCGCTTCCATTTACCAGGGTTCCATTTTGGGTACCTATTTTTGACCCACAGCCATGTCAATGTCTCTTTCACTAGAGGACCCCCGGCCCCGTATTTTCTCGGCCCACACCTTCTGATACTCTAAAGAGAGCATGCTTAGGGTATGTCATAAAAAGTCAACCATAAGACAGAACACACATTTGGGAGGAGACTCCAGTTTTTGGAGTCTCAGATTGCCCACGTCGAAGCGCCCGAAGCGGCGATTCGCCTGGTAGTGCTTCGCATCGTGGACTGAGTGTCAGATCTCGAGAGCTGGTAGAACATGCTCACCCTGGCGCGGAGCTCCGTCTGAGGAGCTTGTCTCAAAGTGGGGAGCCCCACTGGTTCGCTTCCTGTCCGCTTCCCTTCAAATGCCAACAGGGGGTTCCTCAAAGAAAGACAGGTCTATGTCCGCGTAATATAGATATATATATATATATATGCTCACCCCCCCCAGGGCCTACCTTTCCACTTCAAAATGTACAAAACCCTCTTATTTTTAAGGACGGGGTGTGAGCATATATACGCAAGAAGTGTGCTGTTGCTGCATATTTTTTTTTATGGGTGACAAGTCATGTTGAGTAACAACAGCAAAGAGTTTATAAACTTTCAAGACAGTTTATAAACCATGTCAAGGGTTTGCCGGTTTCCTTGCAACAAGGGCCAAGGGGGGGGTACTGAGAAGTCTTTAAAAAGTTGGCTGAGTCACACCTCACTGCTAAGACTTCCAACCAACCACCCCCCCCCATCCCAAGACTTCCAACCACCCCCCCCCCCCCTCCTTCAACGATACCATGAACACTTCGTAGGGTGTTGTTGCCTTGATGCGGGAAACCCGTCAAACACTCAATAAGGTTTATAAACTTTCCTGAAAGTTTATAAACCTTCTGTAGGCTTATACTGCTGCACTGTGATATCAAAGGCTGTCCATTCGGTCCAAGGGAACACAATCTGAGCAACTGCTGCAAAACACTCTGTTTTACAGCATTTTGTTGGATCTCTAATCCCTTCAATCCATTTGAAACACCTGAAACCTAGAATCTGGAGATCAGAATCCTTGAGATGTCTAATGTTGGATTCTCCAAGCCTCATAATTTGGAGCCTGGAGTACTCCAACATGAATTCCTTTCCAAAAAGGATTTTACTCCGAATTGAATTGGAATGTTGAAGGGGGCAAAATGTTGTTTGGGAAATGAACAATCTTCGGCCCAGGGAACACAATCTGACCAATTTCTTCAAAACACTTTGTTTTACAGTTTTTTGTTGGACCTGCAATCCCTTGAAATGTCCATGGTCAAGCACCTGAAACCTAGAATCTGGAGATCAGAATCCTCGAGATGTCTAATGTTGGATTCTCCAAGCCTCATATTTTGGAGCTGGGAGTCCTCCAACATTTTTAAATATAGATTCCTTTCCAAATACTGCGAATTGAATTGGAATGTTGAAGGGAAAACTGTTGTTTGGGGAAAACAATCTTCGGTCCAAGGGAACACAATCTGAGCAACTGCTGCAAAACACCGTGTTTTACAGCATTTTGTTGGATCTCTAATCCCTTCAAATGTCCAATTTGAAACACCTGAAACCTTGAATCTGGAGATCAGAATCCTCGAAATGTCTAATGTTGGATTCTCCAAGCCTCATAATTTGGAGCCTGGAGTCCAACATATCCAAGTACACATTCCTTTCCAACGATTTTGATCCGAATTGAATTTGCATATTGAATAGAATTCAGTAAGCACATAGTTCACCACCATTCATAATTCACCATAATGTCTATATTAGATCAGGTTTTTGAACAGGAATACCTTTCCAAATAAGGAAAATCCGCCGACATTGCTCGGCGTGTCGGATACTTACTAGAGGATAGAGGATAACCCCCCCCCCTAACCCCCCCCCCGCCCGACGTCTATTACGTAGGTTTTTTTTTGGGGGGGGGGTCCCCCACGTACCGCGCGGCAATTTGATGACGTTCCACTAAACGTAGTCTTCGGGGAGCCGGTGTCGCAAAACAGGGGTCCCAGGCTCGATTCCCCCTGCCGGCTTTTTTGCTGGCTTGGGCTTCCTGCATCCTTTTGCCGAAAATCTGGAAAAACTCAATGTTTTTGGACGTCCTCTTTGCGAAAACGCTGGAAAAACCGTGTTTTTTTGCGGGAAATACATACATACATGCATGAATGCATGCATGCATACATACATACATACATGTCATACATACATTACACACACATACATACATACATACATACATGCATGCATACATACATACATACATACATGCATACATGCATTACATACATACCTACCTACCTACCGCATACATACATACATACATACATACATACATACATACATACATACATACATACATACATACATTACATTACATACATACATACATACATACATACATACATACATACATACATACATACATACATACATACATACATACATACATACATACATACATACATACATACATACATACATACATACATTACATACATACATACATACATACATACATACATACATACATACATACATACATACATACATACATACATACATACATACATACATACATACATACATACATACATACATACATACATACATACATACATACATACATACATACATACATACATACATACATACATACATACATACATACATACATACATACATACATACATACATACATACATACATACATACATACATACATACATACATACATACATACATACATTACATACATACATACATACATACATACATACATACATACATACATACATACATACATACATACATTACATGACATACATACATACATACATACATACATACATACATACATACATACATACATACATACATTACATACATTACATTACATACATTACATTACATTACATTACATTACATTACATTACATACATACATACATACATTACATTACATACATTACATACATTACATTACATTACATTACATACATACATTACATACATACATACATACATACATACATACATACATACATACATACATACATACATACATACATACATACATACATACATACATACATACATACATTACATACATACATACATACATACATACATACATACATACATATACATACATACATATACATACATACATACATACATACATACATACATACATACATACATACATACATACATACATACATACATACATACATTACATACATACATACATACATACATACATACATACATACATACATACATACATACATACATACATACATACATACATACATACATACATACATACATACATACATACATTACATTATTACATTACATTACATTACATTACATTACATTACATTACATTACATTACATTACATTACATTACATTACATTACATTACATACATACATACATACATACATACATTACATACATACATACATTACATTACATTACATACATACATACATACATAAATACATTACGTACATACATACTTACTTAGGTACTTACTTACTTACTTACTTGCATACATACATACATACATACATACATACATACATACATACATACATACATACATACATACATGCATACATACATACTTATGTACATGCATGCATACATACGAGAGAGGGAGATTGGGAAGAGAGAGGCTTGGGGGGATGGGGAGGATGGGAGCAGAGGGAGGGAGAGCACACAAGGGAGACAAGGAAGAGAGGAAGAAGGAGAACAGGGAGAGGACAATGTCGGCGGACTGAGCCGGAGGCTCTAAAGTATCATTGCAGTAGAATCCAAATATACTTTAATGCAGACAGAATTCAATTAGCTTTTGAACATAATAATTTAATCAAGAATCCATCCCCAAATACAACTTGAATTGGAATATAGCTTATTCTGGAAAGAAATCACAACAAATTTTAATAGTAACTCATTCCCAAAAAAGATTTAGCTTAAATGTGGCTAAACAAATAAAGGGCACATATCCCCAGACTCCCAAAATTGGTCTGGAGATGTGTTTGGCATGTGCAGGTCTCAGAGCTTTCATTTTCAGGAGATTTTGTGCTTTTGGGTCTGTGCAGGTTGCAGAGCTCAAAGCTGCCAAAAACACCATTTGTTTTACATGTTTTTCCCTGGTGTACTCAAAACCACTGTAAAAACCAGTGATTCAATCAAAGCCAGGCTCGAATCTGAAAACGGAATCCGTTTTCGCTTTGCTGCCTTTCAAGCCTCAAAGAATCAGACATCTGCTGTCATATAGAAGGTAAAAAACAACAAAACACTGTATTATATATATATATATATATATGTGGTACCCCCCCCAAAACCCAGGTTTGGTCTGAAAACACTGGTATTTACTGTGCTTTCTGACAAAAAACCTGAATCTGCCAGAACCCTCAGTTGTCAGGCTGTTTTTTCAGTTTTCAAGGAAGCTTTCTGGCCAAGAAACTCTCTGCAAAACTGAACAAACTGCAAAAAACTGAAAAAACAACTGAAAAAAACTAGAAAAACCTGAAAATACGGAAAAAACTGAAAAAACTGAAAAACCAAGGATTCTGAGGGACATGACCCCCCCCAGCCATGTCCCTCAGAATCCTTGGTTTTTCAGTTTTTTCAGTTTTTTTCAGTTTTTTCTCCGTATTTTCAGTTTTTTTCAGTTTTCCTTGGCATCTGAGCAGAACCGAGCCCATATTTGAAGCTGTCTGGCTCCAGCGCTTCCTTACTCCTCTTCTGCCCTTTGTTCTGACCCTGTCCTAGCATGGCCAAGGAGCCTGAGGATATGACCTTTGATGACCTCAAGAACGCATGCGACGCTTTCGTATTTTCTGAGTAGTTTTCTTGTATTGCCCTGGTGACTTGTCCAGACAAATTGAGCCTCGTTTTTGTCAGCATTCTCCTAGTATGCTCCTTTAGTATTCCCCCAGTCTTCCTTGAGTATTTCCCTAGTATTGCCCTAGTCTTCCTTTAGTATTCTCTTGGTATGCCCCGAGTATTTCCTAGTAAGGGAAGGGAAATACTAGGGGAATACCTTCAGTATTGCCCTAGTATTCCTTAAATATTCTCTTGGTATACCCCTAATATTCTCTCAGAATTCCCCTAGTATTCTCCCTGTGTTCACCTTTAATATCGCCCTAGTCTTCCTTGAGTATTTCCCTAGTATTGCCCTAGTCTTCCTTTAGTATTCTCTTGGTATGCCCCGAGTATTTCCTAGTAAGGGAAGCGAAATACTAGGGGAATACCTTCAGTATTGCCCTAGTATTCCTTAAATATTCTCTTGGTATACCCCTAATATTCTCTCAGAATTCCCCTAGTATTCTCCCTGTGTTCACCTTTAATATCGCCCTAGTCTTCCTTGAGTATTTCCCTAGTATTGCCCTAGTCTTCCTTTAGTATTCTCTTGGTATGCCCCGAGTATTTCCTAGTAAGGGAAGCGAAATACTAGGGGAATACCTTCAGTATTGCCCTAGTATTCCTTAAATATTCTCTTGGTATACCCCTAATATTCTCTCAGAATTCCCCTAGTATTCTCCCTGTGTTCACCTTTAATATTGCCCTAGTCTTTCTTGAGTATTTCCCTAGGTATACCCCTAGCTAGTGTTCCCTAAATATTTCACTAGTCAGGGAAGGGGAATATTAGGGGAATACCTTCAGTACTATCTAACTAACTAGGCAGCTAAATAGATAACTAACTGATTAGCCAATTAACTAGCTAACTGGCTTCAGAGCTCATTCATTACAACTATTTAACTGACTAATTAGCTGACTTGCTGACTGGTTGTTTGACTAACTAATTGAACTTGCCTTGAACTTGAAAAATATGCGTTTCACAGAGGCGAAAATACGCATGTTTCTCAAAAGTAGCATTTGTCCTAGTGATTTTGGCAATTGTCCAGGTTCAAAACCTGGGTTTTGGAGGGGGGGGGTTGCATATATATATATATATATTTAAAAAAAAATCACACAAACCCACAAGAAACTCACTTTTAAATGGCCTGGTGATGTAGGAAAGCCTGCAGCTTCAATCGAATTCAGCAGAAGGACGTCCAAAGATTGACCAATGGGATCCAACAAACGTGTTTCCAAAGAACTGGTTGAAACACTGTACTCCGATTATGGGGTCTCCTCATGTTCTTTTCGTTTTTGTTTTTATCGCTGTTGGTACGCTGATTTAGATGCCGACACATGATATACTATTTTCGGAGTATCCCAAGTGTGGCCCAATCATTTCTGGCGTCCGGCAAATTTCTGAGTGGGGATCCTCCAGATAGAACTGGACCATCTGGCCCTGCATTCCTGTTGAGCTTCATTTCAAAAGCACCCGACCCGAAGAACCGTTGCAACCACCAAGGAATCCGGATCGGAGCGAGCGCGGGGGGGGGGGGGGGTCCATTGGTCTTGAGACGACACCTGCTAAATCTTGGCCAGACGACCGGCAAAAACATGTGAAATCCAGTTGCGGATGCCTCCGGAAAAAAGAGAGTAGATTCTTCCATGTGCGTTTTTGCCCCCTGGAGAAAATGAGAAACTAAATCCAGTAGTGACAGATTCCTTTTAAAACCAAAAGGAGAACATACAAATATGATGTTCAGCAAACAGAATAATGTCCAGTAGTGATAGACTCTCTTGAAATTCAAAATGGTGAGTTGTTTGTGGCCATTGGGTGAGGACTTTTGGTGGGTCGCCATGGGCGTGTGGACGCACTTCCGATCGCGTAGATTGGCCAACAAAGAGTCTAAACTCTTGTTTAGCACTACAAAGCTGGTGTTTCTCAAAATAGGGGTCCCTTTTTGGTTCAATTGCCAGAAACTCCCAAAAACAGGGTTGTGGAGATGAGGAGTGGGTTCAACTTCTGTGATACCAGAGAACCTCCTCTTCCATTAGAGAATTCAACATTTGGAGCTTCCATTGCTACTAGTATCAGAGTGGGCAATTCTCAGAACCCCCATAAAGAACTCAGGGAGTGAGAGAACCTCTCCGAGAAAAGCCCTCCACTCCTCGCCTTTTGCTGTTCTGAGGCATAAGGTGCTCCGCCACCTTCCCGAGGCGCGGTCCATGCGTCCAAACGGGTGCGGCGTGGGCACGCATTCCCCGGTTGGGTATGTGAAAATGGAGGTGTTCCTTTCTGTTTCCATTTAAAACAAGGTAAAAATGGTTTGCAACGCGCGGAACCAATAATAGACCAAACACTGTTTGCAGGAGGGGGGGGGAGGGTTCCTTGTTTTGAGACAGATCCATTTGGGGCTTGCAGTTTGGGGATCCCGGCTTTGCCTTGGCTTGCCTTGCCCCAAACAGACTCAGCCCCAAAACGGGATGTTGATCTGTCCGCGCCTGGAGGCAATGGCTCTTGACGCCTACCTTCTTTGCATTTCTTCTGAAAACGTCCTCAAAAGTTCCGTTTAGGTCCTCCAAACCCTTCCCACATCACTTGGTCAAATAAAATCATCGGGGGGATGTGGCATTTAGTGGACCCCTAAAAATGCGCCGCGGCGTCTCAATACAAACCCGGAAACAAGATTTGGGCACCCTCAAGAACCACAGACCCGGCGTCCCTTTACCGGGAAGAGCTCACGGTCCATGGCTGGGGGGTCTCATGGTCCACGTCTCTCTGGGCCAAACGGTTTGGTCCTCGAAAGAGTTCACTTGCGGGCAAAGAGTTGCGCAACTTTTGCAACGGAAAACTGATGGAAATATGAAAAGGCGACAGGTCGCAATTAAAAACAAACAAACAGCAACATGGCAGTCCGACCAGGCATATCCCTAGCTTCTGTGCTCAGAGGCCGCAAGAAACTTGTCTAGTTGGCTTTGATTCAAGGCTTCGTTTAGGGACCCCCCCGAAGAACTTCTTAGGAACGTGTCTCATTCGGCTTATATATTGCCGGATGCGTGATTCATTTCGTTGGTGATGAGGTAGAGCTCACATGGCGGGTTGTTGGTACCCTCAGAGCATAGGCCAGGCACTTCCGTGTTCAGGGGGGAAACACCTTTGGGAGGGTTTTTCTGGAAGACACCCACTAGAAGCTAGAATGAAGCCGACCATTCGCTGGGGTCCATGATTGAAATCCTCAAAGACTTAAAACCATACCGTGGATGGTTGCGAAATGCTCTTAGGCACCACAGTTCAGATTCCCTGGAATGGTTCGATTCTCCAACTTAAATACCAACAAACAATGGTTTCAACCATGATTTCGAAGTGGGGCAGGGTTTCGTCCATCCACAGTAGATGTATTTTGGGAAGAGTAGATGGCCCTGGCAAATTTAACAAAACCAATCTAAAACAGTGCCATCTATTTTTGACAAACGAACCTTGCTAAAACCAGAGAAACACTAAACACATATGCATTTCAGCCAAAAAAGAAGCCTTGTAGGAATGCAGAAACACATGTTCAAGGAATCCAACACCTGGCCATCAAAACTGATCTCCTTTCTCCCGGCTAGGGGCCAGCTCAGGTGGAAATCCACGCCGCTACATCCCCTAACTCAGTTGCCCCTTAGGGACCCAGAAATCAAACGGAACCTTTTGGGGCGACTACAAATGGACACGGGGGAAACCAAAAGGTCAACAAGTTGGCTTTGGGCAAGAGCCTATATTGCATAACTCATACACTATACATATATATATATATATCCATATATATATATGTTATATACGTGTATATATATATGTATATATATATATATATATTAGTTCAAAGCAAAACGCCCAAGAAACAACTCCAAGCCAGGTGAGTTTCTGCACCCAAACAATTGGTTATCAACTTTAACTTGCACACGAGGTGCAACTCTGAGGATTGCTTTGTGAACTCCAAGATCTGGGTGTGTCTGAAACCGGGGACCCTCAAGATGGCGGTGGTAGTCGTTTTTAAACATAAATGTGTCTAAGTAGTAGTTGACCTAGTAGTTATTCAACTTTGAAGCACTTACATTGCAGTTTGTTTCTTGCGCACTCCAGCTGGCAACTTGTGAACCCTATATTTGCCCTTGACACCACCCCTAAAAAGTGCCCCAGTCCGCCTCCAGCAGTTTCGGTGCATTCTTGCGCCGCCTGGCGATGCTTGAATCGCCCACAGAGTCTGCACCCTTCCTAAAATCATGCAAGAGGAGCACGTGTTTCCGACATATGCAGGCAAATGTATGAGAAAACTCGGTTGATTTCTGCTCCCCTGCTAAAAGTTTAACTTTTAGTGGTTTAATGGAAAACCCATTTGTTGGCAAAAAGTTAAAGTCCTAACATCCAAGCAAAATGCACCAAAGAAAAGTCTATACTTTAAAAACGGGGTGAACATTTTTCTTGATTGATCTGGATTCTCACCAACCTGGCCCGGAGGTTAGTTTCGCAGAGCCCGACGCAAGGGGACAAACCTCTCATCCTGAAGCTGCAAAAAACCGCACAAAGCTCAGACAGGCTCAGTCGAAGGCAGAAAAGCGACACCCCCCAGGCTTTCGAAGTTTCAGATGGCTCAGTCGATTCAAAAACGAAAGCCAGCCGGCTTCCGGCTTTTCCCTGCCTATCCAGGTGTCTGGCATAAGCTGCCTCGAAGTTGGAACTCAGCACGCCTCAGGCGACGCGAAAGCCGCCTTTCCTCACGTCCGATCTCGCTGATCCGGAGTGGCACCCAACAAGTCGAAGAACTGGGTGGCGGTTGCCACCGGTTCTTAGTGATCTCATGGTTGGTGTGAGTCAAGAGTTGTTCCCTTGGCTTCATAAGTGCCAAAAGGTGTGGCCAAGATGTGGCCAAAAGATGTGGCCACTTGAATTGGGCTTCACAAAAGGTAAGTCCAAGCCGGGGGCCTGTTTCAACCTTCGAATGCCATTAGTTGAAGATGGGAGGTGAAGGTTTCGAAAACCACCGCAACAAAAAAACAAAAAACAAAAAACGCACCAGTTTAGGTCCGAAACGCGAGAGCAGGGGGTCGTTTCTTCGTGTGTCCTGAGTAAAGCAAGGGATCACTCAGAAACACCGAAGGAAACCAAGGGCACTTCTCTCTTCTGGCGAGTCCATGGTCTTTTGCACCCAATGGCAAGGAACAATACAACCTACTTAAAGGGGCGATCGATTCGGTACGTCAGGTAAGTGGTGATCGTAAGCCTGGTGCGAAAACCCACAGAAGCCATGAATACAAGTTTCCGTTCAGAGGGTTTTCTCACCATGCTTACTGAAAGTACCCGATCGCCCCTTTAAGTAACAGCTTGAAGATCCTGTTCTGGGTGAAAAGCAAGCGCAGTAGAGACCTGCGTGGGAAGAACACCAACCAGCCAGATGCGAAGCAACGGGAGTTTTTTTGTTCTTTGTGCTTCTTACAAACCATGTGGATGTCGAGTCCCCACTTGACATGGAGATGTCGAGTCAAAAGTAGGATAATCAGATTGCCCTTTTGGGGACGGGTTGAACATGGCACCAAATTTGGAGGGAATAGCCTCATAGACTTCTCTGCTCAATCGGTTGAGCGCCCACATCCATCTACATCTGGCTAAACTAAGACGCTTGGCTATTTCGCCATGAGTTTTCATTAGGGATGCTCTGGTGGACATCATTTAGGTGCTGATTCATGTTCATTCACCACTTTCCAGGGGGGCTCCTCATGGAAAAAATCCTTGGCCATTTTGTCATCAATATGCCGAGTAGATCAGCTCCCAATTGATGGCCCCTTTTGGAATCATGCTTTGGGCAATCGTGCTGGGACCTGGAAGTGACTGATGCCGCCAAAACTGACCACCACCAAAAGCGAGCTCTAAGGGAGACGCGTCGAGTTGCCCAAAGCGCGGGGTTCTGAGTTTGGCTTGAAGACTGCGCATTTGGACGCAACGGCTACCCTCCCACCAATTGACAGCCGGCACCTGACGTTCGGGGGTCGCTTTCAAAGTCTTATGACTAGGTCCTCCAGTAGAGAGGTTAGAATAAGGGTACCCTTTTTTCTGTAGTCGATTTTAGTAGGGAAACTCTCCCCCAAAAAAGAGTAAAAGGGCACCTAGCTGGGGGACCTAGATGATCTTCCAGGAACCCCCGAACGTCAGGTTCCATCTGAAAAGGCTGGGAGGGTAGAATACCCAACATTCAATTCAGTGGTCCCCAAGTCTTGGCCCACATCGGTCAGCTTTCCCAGTGCTGGTTTGGAGCGTGGTTTGGTGGAGGAGGGGAGCCCCCCCATCTGCCCTCTACAAGAAACTACCAATCCAAACCACCAATTAGTACCTGAATCTGGGTACGCCAAAACAACACTAGAATACAACCATACTGTGCTCGGACGAAATCCTGATTCCAATGGTCTCAACCATTCCCTGGGCTTCAACCCCATTAAAACAATGGTTCACCCAATTTAGATGCTGACAATCCTTAGGCAAATAATGGTGGTTATATTAACCCCTGTTGTTTTAATGGTGGCTTGCCCCCCAGGGCATGGTTTCACTTTGTGCGAACGGATTCGTTCCATCCACAGTCTAGGTCCTCCAGTAGAGAGGTTAGAATAAGGCTACCCGATTTTTTTGTCTGTCGTCTAGTTTAGCAGGGGAACCGAATCTCCCAACCAAAAAAGAAACGGTATAGAAGGGCACCAATTGCTGGGGGACCTAGCCGTAGCTTTTCGGCGCTCGGAGACCTTGTGGATCTGACGGATCGACTGAGGCATGGACCGATAGGCAGCGCCAGGAAGATGATGCCTGCGTCGAGCTAGGACCCATGGCTGACAAACCTCTAGGGCTTGATTCCCCATTCTTTGCAACCATCGTTCTTTTCAAAAACCAGCCGTTTCCCTGGGAATCTGGAGGTTTTCTAGAAAGAAGTATCCTTATAGAAAGAATGGGGAAGGCACCACTAAAAGTGTTCAGCCAATTTCGATTGATTACTTACAGGTGGACCCCTCATGCACGGAGAAGGGAACACCCAAGCATGAGAGGTATCGAAATTGAACCCACTTGCCTGGAGTCGAAACTCTGAGGACCCGTTTTGGAAGACTTAGCTCCGGGTTCTATGCCAGGGTCTCTCATTGCATGCCATGTTCGCCTGGGGAGGGTGTGCCAAAAACCAGCCACTTTCACACCCTTCAACTAAGCTTCAGTCAAATAGCCTTTGTCCAAGCCATGCATCTCCACTCATTACCTCATGGGCGTTGTATTGCTTGTGGATACCCGTTTTTGGGGGTTGTGTTGCAGGGAAGCCAAAGGGACACCATACATTTTGGGGAGTCCCGGAATCAAAAAACCGTCACCCTCATATTCACCAGCTGGAAATCATCCTAAAGGGACCATGGGGCCTGGAATCGCTCTTACCCCGAATTCGCTTGGATGACTGAAGCATCCGCGTGGCTGCTAAAAGAAGCGAAACGGCCACAGGTCCTTCCGCAGTTTCAGTAGAGCGTATGTATCCGTAGAAGTTAACCTACAGAAACAGCCAGGGTCAAATTTTTGACAAACCGAAGGATGCTGGTCCGCAGAAAGTCGACGTCGACAGTTCCTAGGTCGCAACCGACAGTTCTGCCGAAACCGCGGGCTTAGCCATGGCGTGTCTTAAAAGGGAGCCCCGTTGGATTCCTTTTTAAACAACCAAACAAGGGTATACCAACTCCAAGAACGAACATTTGAGGTCACTTCAGTGCAAGAAGTGTCCCATATTCTTTTCGAGAAAATCCCCCCAAGTCATGGGGGGCTTCAAGAGCGGCTCGTTTGAGCCATGAGAACCGCCCCTAGCCACGGTGAAACCCATTGGTATGACTTGCGATCGGTGCGAGAGACGCGATCGGCGCCCTGCGAATTGGAATGAGCCTGAGACAAACCGTATCTGCTGGTTTTTCCTTCAAGGGGACCCTTGGGTTCCTTCCCACATTCCCTACTTCTCGCACCAGCAAGATGAGCCACAACAAACCCGCCATCGAGCCACGCGGTAGGAAAAACTCCCTTCCGACGGAGTGGATCGGCCCCCAAAGGAAGTCCAACACTTGGAGTTTGCCAACCAAACTGGCCCAGACCCAAAAAGTTTTTATTGTCCAGGAACTCCGGTGAGGATGTTTGAGGTGACAGTTTGAGGATGTGAAAGGAGTCTATTTGAAGAAGTGAGGAGAAACAGAAAAAACGGAAGTGGTGCGCCTGTGTAGAAGCACAGCACCCCCACAGCCCTTCCAATGTGGCTGGTGGGCGCCATGTCTCCGTACCCAACCTGAGTGGAAGGCAAGAAAAGAACGCACGTGAAAAGCCTGAGCGAGTGCTTTCGGGGAGACCAGTTCAACCGGCTCCAACAATGAATGTTGTCTTTTTTGAGCGTAACCTTTTGGTTTCATGGAAATGTTGGAAGGAATCCCGTTGCCATATTAAGTCCCCTAAACTCCCTAACGCCACAAGCAAATTCCTTCGTTGGTCTTCGGTTTTGAGGCCGACTGACTAGGGTCATCACTTTCTGGAGGTACCAACTGTTGGCTGGTGGTTTTCAAGGCAACACAAGGGGCCTAACCCCAAAGACTAACCCCATATAAAGGGGGATATTCCAACTTGTATCGCAGAAGTGGGGATAAGCCCCTTGATCCCACAACCCTGGTCCGGTTCCTTTTGACACAAACCCCATTGAATGAATGAACTCCGGATGTGTTCCCCAGTGAGAAAATCACACTTGTGGGTGGACATCCTCTCGGTGAGGATGGATGGCACCTTCTGAATAATTCCTGCCAACGGCGAATGTTCCTATGTTTGGAGCTAGCCCGGCGGACAAAAACAAAAATCCAATGGATGTAAACGACCCTTCGGCTTCAGCCCTACATGAAGACTTGCGGAGCACAGCCTGATTCAGGATGTGCGAAGCCGGGCTCGCGTGAACTACGTGAGCTTCAAATCGTCGTATGCGTCCTTTTGGGACCAAACGGCTCAAGGGAAACCGTGAGGAAAACAACCAGTCTGGGGAGCTACGTACCCCTCATCCCTTTTGACTCAAAGGCAAACCAATTTGTTTTTTGTGCGTGGCTAGAACTTGAAAGCCCAAACGCACGGATGCAAGCGCTCACGAAGGCTGACAGGAGGTCGTTTTTGTGGGTTCCAGGAAGTGATGGACGGGCGATGTTTATCAGTGTGTGGCAAAGGGGGGGGGGACGCCACAACATGCTTGTTTTTGGGTGCGGGTCTGGGACGGACAGAGAGGCTGGTGTCCTTTTGGGTTCCTTTAAACCAGCCCACATCCGGGTTCCCTCAAAACCTCCAAATAAAACACACACACACACACATGTCCAATCCCAAGCAAAAACTCGCCTTCCCATGGGAAAAATATGGCTTCGCCTTGTCCGTTGTTGTTTGGATCGAAGGTGGGACCACCTAAGAACAAAAAGTCAAATCACCCCGACCTTCACGGGGGATCTCGATTCACGTTCCCGAAATTACTTTTCTAGTCCTCAAGTGAACATGGAAATTGGGAATCCGATCGCTCAACAAGGGGTCAGCTTTGGATGCTTTCGAGGGGAAAAGGCCAACCCATGCAGCTAAGCTTGACACACAGCCAAATATGTGTTAAGACTATGCATCATAGGATCTTGTCTATCCGTATGGGGAGTTCTCAAAATAGGAATCGGTCCACTAAAATGGCTAGTCATGTCCTTTTGGTGCTCCCTTCAAATACCAACCAAAAGGGGACCACCCTTTGGAGAAAGACCCGCGTACTTTGTCTACCCTAAATCATAACAATATTTCAAATTTTCGAGGAGACCCCACCAAGCTCTGCTCTGAAGCCAATTCCGAGTCGCAGTGGTCGTTGTCGTAAATACCCACCACAGCGCCACGGGGATCGAACGGAAGGGCGTGAGAATGTCGACCCCTGCGAGAGGTCCCTCCTATGAGCCCTTCTTTGAGGGTACAGGGGGCCCGCTTTGAGGTGTCAAAGGGAAACCAACCACCCCCCAACAACTGCTTTTTATGTCTTAAATCCCAAGCACTGTCTAAAGAGCAGTTGGGGGGTGCTGGAAAAGGGTAACACCCATTTTGGGCAATCGCTGGGTCCAGTTTGAGACAAAGCTGACTTTTGGTTCTCAACGTCGGGCACCCCTGCCCTGCCGGTTTTCAGACCTGTAGCTGTACCGGAATTGAGATTCTATCAATAGGAGGAAGTTCTGGAAGCCTCTAAACTGGAAAAGTTGAGGCCCGACCCTCCGATTCAAGCCCACCCTCTCGCAAAAAAAAGAAGAAACGGGCATGTTTGCGTTGGAAAGAGAGAAACTAAAACCTATCTATCCCCAGTGGTTTTCTTTGATGGATCCACTCAAATGCTGTATACTCGGCAACATGCCTCGACATGGCAGCTCTGGTGTTGTCTGCGTTGCTCCCTCAAAATGATTCAACAGATCGTGGGTCGCGCCACCAAGGGCCGATAGGGAATCATACAAAACGATTGGTTCTTCAAAAGGGACAGCTAGGCCCAACATCCTGCCATGTACATCTGCAAACCCTTGGCGGGCATCGGCACCCATCCTCTTTTTCAGGTACTCCTTACTCTAGTTGGTGGTTTGGATTGGCGGGATTTGAACGGTGAATTGTGTGGGATTTCCATAGACGAGTCCCCCCATTTGCTTTGCGGAGCCATAGCGGTTGTGGGCAACCTGGACCAAAGAGAACATCCCGAACTCTTGGCCCAGCTATGCTGTGGACCTTGCAGCGCTGACCCATCTGGTTGACGCACCAGCGTGGGAAGGGAACACTTTGACAACCAAAGAGCGAAAACAACATCTTCAAGCCATGTGTGTATCATGTATCTATATAATATATGTATATACACTCTAGCTTGTTTGTCTATTCATTCTAAGTTCCCTCATCATTTGCATGTTGTGACTTCGGATTTGCTACACATGCTCCAGTTACTCCACATTGATCCGACAGCAGCAGATCGAATCGACCCGGGCCTTCCGGGTCCTTCCGCACAAATGCACCTCGAGAGGTGAGGCAAAAAGGCAGAGGCGGAGTCCGGCCAAGGAAACCTATGGCTGGTCAAAAACGGGCAAAGCAACAAAACATGGAACCCACAAGAACTATAACTAAAAACCTGCCTTGGTTTATGTTTGACCCGTAAGTAGAATGCTGGCTTCACAAAATGACATCCCACAATTATCCTCGAAACGGTGTCAGTGTGGAAAAGGAACCCACCCCCGAATCGAATTTTGAAAAACACCTCGAGCTGTTCACTTTAAGGAGCCGAGTGATAAATGAGCCCCCCTTTAGATTCCTGGAGCCTCCATCGCAGCAAAAATATATACGCCTCAACGCTGGTTCGACACGCAAATTGACACGGTGCAGCCTTGGTTGACGTTGGAAGGGGAGCAAACCTTCAAATTTTAGCAGTTAAGTGTGTAGTTCAACCACTAAACCGCAATATGCAAACATGTAAAATGTTTCAGTGTGAAGGGAAATGTGTCCCAATTTGTTCTGCGCGGGTTTGCGCAATGAAATATGTCCCAATGAAATGTAAAACGTTTCCCAACGACAACCGTGAAACGCGCCTTTTCCTCCGCGAGCAGACATATCCAGTTCAGTAGCTTCATGCAAGTCAACCCCACAGAGGCGAGCTTGGGAAGAGCCATCAACGAACCAAACAAGTTTTGGGAAGAAGTGCAAAAAACGAGCGCAAACAAGTGCAAACAAGTGCAAACAAGTGCAAAGGAGCGAAAAACAAAAAAACAAAAAAACAGTACAGGGAATTCGGAATGGGTTCCGACGGGCGCATGATTGCTGACAACTCGATCGATTTTTGGTGAATGGCAGTTTATTTTAGAACAGGTTGTCACCAGCAGAAATAGTTCGAGCAAAAGCTAATGCATCAATGGAGGCTGCAGGTGAAGATGGAACCCAACAACCATGATTGAAATTAGATAAAACTCCCTTTGCCCTCTTTTTTGTTGTTGTGGGTCCCTTTCATTGATTTGCACTGGAGTAAGGGGCTGAGAAACTACAAACATGCTAATCTGATGGTCTTGACTTACTTCGAATTGTTCAGGCCCTTAGAGAAAACATCCACAGGATGTTCCACATGGCTTTCTTTCACTGCCCGAAGGCGTCGCGTATTAGTGTCCAAAAAGTCGATCAGCGCATGGTCCGAACCCGGCCCCGGCGCCGAAACATGTGTCCATCAGCGGCTTTTCGCGTTGCGAGGATAACTTGAAGCAGGGATGGCCTAACCGGGAAATTTGGTGACCCTACCCTGTTCGGGGAACCCCTTCCCGGCGTTTGGAGTGAACACCGGATAACATCCAAGTTTCCGCGCCGGCTTCGGAGGCTCCAGCGATGATTCAAAAAGAAACAAAAACAAACACTACGACTAGGTCCTCCAGAGCAGGGTTGTGGGAAATGACCACTTCTGTGATACAACAAAAAGGGCTTCCCAAAGACTAACACCCCATATACAGGGGGAGATCCCCTTGTATCACAGAAGTGGGAATAAACCCACAACCCTGCTCCAGAGAGGTTAGAATAAGGTTTCAAACTTTTTTTTCTGTAGGGGAACCCTCCCCCAAAAAATGGGTTTCCAGGGCACTACTGGGGGACCTAGACGAATCTCGGGCGGATCGCCCGGCGCCGGCCTGTGGGGAAGGTGCCATTGGTGAACTCTGGGGCCACGGAATAGTCGGACCCTGGCGCGGCTCTGCCGTGGAAGGACAGTCAATGGACTTAGGACGCCTATGGCTCATCCAAGGGCTGGGCCTTCCCCTGACAAATTCGGTTTGGAACCTGGTGTCCATTGAAAATGTCCCCTCTCTTTTTTGGGGGGGGACCCTTTATTTTGGTATTCGGCAAGCACTGCACACTGGATGCGAGATCGGAGTTTTGCAAGCCAGCCCTCCGGAAAAATAAAAGACAAGTACATCACCCATAGGCCCATAGGCAAAGACCAACATCACAAGACCTTACAACAGGAGAGCAGGCAGAAGAAAGCCTTCTTGAGCCCATCAGCCCAAAGCTTGGGTCACCCCCGGCACATCAAACGCCCCTTCTTGGGCCACTCGGAAGCTTCGAAAACAAAGGTGCCCCCAGAACTTTTGGGTCTCTGGGCTTTGTAAGTCTGCCAGGATTCTGGCAGGGCACAGGTCCTGTGATGTTTCACCTTTCTCAGCTTCTCTTGGACCTTCGGATCTTTCAACCCTGACAGTCTCCGAAGGGCAGGTGGGTTGGTCATCCGCCCAGGTGGAATCCAGAAGGAGGGGCTGGTCCAGGGGGGTTCCCTAAAGCTTTTGTAAGGAACCCGGTTTCCCGTTTCGGGAACCCGTTCAACGGGAACCCTAAGGAACTCAGCTGAAACGGGCTCTCAACTACCCCCACTTGACCTCCTCCCTTGGGGATCGCATCGTCCTAGGCGCTTCCCGCCTTCGAAATAGAAGATCACAGAGGCAAAGATGACCCCGAAGATGATATTGAAAAACCTCGGCTTGCCCGCGAGCGGGTCCCGCGGAAGGTCCCCGGTAAAAAAAAACCACCTATAGACTTCACACTGAGCGAAGGGTACTTGGAAGCAACCGACTATCAGCTTCCCTCGAAAGGGTGGCTTGGTGATTGAGGGGGTGGTTTCCCAGCTATCTACAAGAACCAAGGATTGCCTGATACAACTTCCTATCCATTGAGGAACAATAAAACCCCTGGGGTTCGGGGGCCTTAAAAAGAAAGGCCTTTAGGAAGCGGCCGTGAAATGTGGGGAACGTCCTTTGTTTGCAAGCTGGGCGCTTTTAATTGGGTTGAGCGTTTTGTGTTGGCCGCATTAGTGGCCACATGGCTTTGCAGTGCATGTGGCTGAAAAGTACGCTTTCCAAAGCCTCGCGAAAACCATGTAGACATGTTGAAGCTGGTCAATGCTCAAGGTCTTCAACTTTGTGGGATTTCTAAAGACACTGATCATGGGCTTAGCAATGGGAAATCGCCAAAGGGAAAAGCGTGAAAATACCGTGAAATTGGCGTGAATGCCCTTTTTTTTGCAGTGAAAGACCGTGAAACGCCGTGAAATTTGGCAGGGCGAAAAACCACTCACATTCGTCCTGGCTGGCATTGTTTTCTGCTGGGTTTGAAAAGGTCCTGCTGAATGGATGTTTCGGGAAGACCATGATGTTCCATTGATGATGCAGAAATGTGCTGCTTTAACGTTGAGGCCTTCGCAAGTCTAGCTTGGTGTGGAAAAGACTTGTTGCTGACGATGTAAAGTTGGAATTCCACCCAGGCCCCCATCCCCCGGCGAGTCAAACAAAGGATGTTCATGTAACGGCCTTTGTCTTAAGAGCCTTCTACCCCCCAGGGAAACAATAGCAGCGCTGACATTCGTTGAGCCGGCTCAAGCCAAGTACCTCCCTGCACTGTGCCGCTTACATTGTGCCACCTTTCCACACACCAACTCAGTGGAAACATAAAAAAAGACAAAACATCCCAGCGCAACCGAACCGGGCGTTGCAAAAATTTGACCAACGGCTCAATTCTTCTGATACGGCCCAAATGATGGCAAAAAAACACGGTCACCTTCATCTAGGTCCTCCAGTAGAGAAGTTAGAATAAGGGTACCTGATTTTTTTTCTGGTTTGTCTATTACACTAGGGGAACCCTCCCCAAAAAAGAAACGGTGAGAGAAGGGCACCTAGCTGGGAGACCTAGTCATTTTACGAAGTTGGCGCCCAAGTTGCCGGTCATTTGGTGGGCTGCCCTCAGATCCCCTCCCAAAAGTGTTTAACTTTGCCGTCAAACTTAGCCTACCTTAAATCCGGGCTGCCCGTTTTCCGATCCCCCGCTAAAAGTGACTAACTTTTAGTGGTTTAAATGGAAATCCAGCCACTAAACACTAAAAGGCTAAGAAGCTAAGGGGATGGCTGGGAGCCACCAAGCAATGGTAAAGTAATATCGAAGGAAACTCACATGAGGGATTCCTAACCAGGACTTGTCGGTACCCTGCGGCAATGCGGACACCTCCTGGTTCCCAAGAGTAATAACCAAACCCAGGCGGGATCAACGTATTACACATCATTCAAGGAGTGATATTTGGGCAGCGATAGTTCACGCCGATCTTGACCTCGCATTGCCGGTTTGTTTTGATGTTGGCTCACGAGGCAATCCCCTCAAAACAGCTTCCGGCCAAAATCTGAGCGTGTTGTTGCGATAAGGTGGCTATTGGAATGTCTTGGTTTGGGCTTGCATCTTTCTAATTTGGCCGGATCATAAACTTCACTGCGCCAAACCCAAGATCCCCAAGGCCCAACGCTGGCAGCGCACCAGACATACCATATTCAGACTCTCCATACTTAGACTAGCCTATGAAATCGGTCTATTGCAAACCCCGGAAACCTCCCGAAACCCCCAGAGGGCTGATCTTAAACCAAATGGATCGCTCCCCTATGTTGCAAGTAAACCAAGCAGAAGCCAGAATCGTTTACAGGGCCCTTGTTTCCCACAAGCAACCCCTTGCATTTGTTTCGTAGCCTTGCAAACCCAAAAAAAAACCACTCACCGGGGATCTCTAGGCAAGCTCGTATGCACTTGTCTCCAATGTATCACATGGATGTGTGTTTTTTCAGGGCGGAAACAAAAACCAGCACGCGGAACGTTCCGCGCCTGCCAGGTGTACATTTGATCCTTTGCTCCAAGCCCTATGCCTGCTCCACCAGTACTACACCAACCTATAAACCAGTTCTAAACCAGGACTAACCACTCCAAAACCAATAACTAAGCCATACTGAACCAATTCTGAGCCGGGCGTAGCAATACTACAGTGGATGGTTGCGAAATCCATTTCGCACCACCTATCAGAAACCCTGGTTTCTGATCCCCCAACGTAAATACCGTTGCAACCGTTCTGGGTCCAAACATGGCTTCATTTCGTGGCGCGATGTCTGGATTTTGCGTCCATCCAAAAGTCATCCGCGAAGAAGAAAAACAAAAAAGCAGAGCCGCATGAGGATTGCCAAGGGCAGGCCGCTCGCCAGCGTCGCCTGGAAGCACCGCTCGCTGAGTCAGTCGGGTCTGGGGCGTCCGGGAAATTTGGGTTCTGCTCTTTAACCCAACTTTTCTGGGTAACCACAAAAACACAACTTCTCTGGGCAACTTTAGCTGGTGTGAAACCTACCACCAAACCAAAAAAACAACTTCTCTGGGTAACTTTAGCTGGTGTGGAACCTACCACCAAACCAAAAAAACAACTTCTCTGGGTAACTTTAGCTGGTGTGAAACCTACCACCAAACCAAAAAAACAACTTCTCTGGGCAACTTTAGCTGGTGTGGAACCTACCACCAAACCAAAAAAACAACTTCTCTGGGTAACTTTAGCTGGTGTGGAACCTACCACCAAACCAAAAAAACAACTTCTCTGGGTAACTTTAGCTGGTGTGAAACCTACCACCAAACCAAAAAAAACAACTTCTCTGGGTAACTTTAGCTGGTGTGGAACCTACCACCAAACCAAAAAAACAACTTCTCTGGGTAACTTTAGCTGGTGTGAAACCTACCACCAAACCAAAAAAAACAACTTCTCTGGGTAACTTTAGCTGGTGTGGAACCTACCACCAAACCAAAAAAACAACTTCTCTGGGTAACTTTAGCTGGTGTGAAACCTACCACCAAACCAAAAAAAAAACTTCTCTGGGTAACTTTAGCTGGTGTGAAACCTACCACCAAACCAAAAAAACAACTTCTCTGGGTAACTTTAGCTGGTGAAACCTACCACCAAACCAAAAAAACAACTTCTCTGGGTAACTTTAGCTGGTGTGAAACCTACCACTAACCCAACCAAAACCTCAAAACACCTAAGGGACTTGCCGTCAAACCCCTCTGGGCTCCTAGCCCGGCGGTTGGAGATCTAAGGAACCGGACGGCTGGGCAGCCCAGAGTTTTCCGGGCTCCCAGATCTGACATAACTGCCAGCCAGAACGAAAACGCAGACGTGAACCCCAAACAGGCGGTCATGAACAAAGGCAACGAAACAGAACCTGCCAAGTAGAGTACAAAAAAACATCCAAACGTTTAGTGGGTTAGTGGAATCTACCACCACACCAACTAAGACCACCAACCTAAGGAACGCAATGGCTGGGAATCATCAAGTTTTGAGGGTTGATTATTTATTTATTTTGTTGAAACAACGTGAAAACACCATGAAACCAATAGAAATTCCGCAATAAAACCAAAACACATACCAACATGAAACCACAATGAAACCACAATGCAACCACAATGCAACCACAATGCAACCATGCTTTGGCCTGTAGTCTTGCTCCAATAGAGAAACAATATGACACCACCCCTCATTTGTGAAGAAATTCCCACATCGTGACGGTCAAGATGTTTACCGGTTGCCCACGTTTCTCAGAACGGGGGATCCTAATGTCTCTGTCTCTTACGGAATGAGCGTGGCATCTGTTGGACGCAGCCAGAACATCCCGCACAACATGCCTTCATTTCCCTGGACGTGAGAAAATGGGTTGAGCTCTATTTTCTGGGCATTTTTTCGAGAATCCCCCGTGTTCTTCCAAGAAAACAAGACCATGCACCACTGCATGTTTCGACTGAATTCTCTGTCCCCTTGCAACATCCTACCAAAAGCACACTCAAACAAAAACAGTCCAAATGGTGATTCAGATGGCCTCAACGAGAACTGGGGGTTGATCAAAAGGTCCGATGAACATGGGATGACCATTGCGGAAACAACCAAAAAGATGTGTCCCACATGGGAAAAGTTACCCTTGGTCGCCTGGGGGGTCAGGAATATGGACCAACCCCCAACTGTTCCGATTTGGGTATGTCATGACAAACGGTGACCCTCGAGCCTCCACCCTCCTCAACAAAGCAGAACTTTGGTCTGGCTGGGGAAACAAAAATGAGCCATGGACGATCTTTGGGCATGTGTCAAAATCGAAGGCCCCCAGAAAGATATGGAGTCTCCTTGTGGCTTTCCTTTTCAACCCATCCCTAAACGTGCACCTTCAAAAAATCGTACACACGAATTTGTTGTTCAAAAAACAAAGCCCATGACTTTCAAGGACCAAGTTGGGGCCCTTCATGGGTTCTGGGTCAATAGACAGCAAGCTCAGCTTGCTCCAGCTGTGAAGGCTTCAGGGCCATGCTGTCATGGTGCTAGACCAGCCTCAGAAAAGCTGGGAATCAGTACAGAACAGCAACACGGAAATTAAGTCTTTTCCCCTTTTGCAAAGGCCACGGATTCAAGTTCGTGCTGCCCGTCTCATTTGTAAAGCCCACTTCGAACTTTCTTTCAGGGCATAAGCTACCGGCAAGTTCATCAAAGGCTGCGTCGGAGTAGTCTCTTCTGCCCACCGCAAGCGTCCGACAACTGTGAATAGAGAAAGCACAGCAGACATGTACGCTCCTTCCTCGTGAGCCTCATCAAGAACGAGGTACTCCGAATACAAGTTCATGCCAAAGAACTTTGTCGT